TTATTGAGTCTGTCATTTGTACAGCAATCTGCATTATAACTGTCTGGTTTGGTGCAGCAACTTAAACAGGACAGGTGTAAACTCCAACGGGTAGTTAGGAAGGATAGTTAGAAAACACAATTGCAACCAGCCTGCTTTCCATGGAGGACCTGTATACCGCACGGGCCAGGAAGAGGGCTGAGAAAATACAGATAGTCCTTGACTTATGACCAGAACGGAGCCCAACATTTCTGTTGTTAAGTGAGACATTTGTTCAGTGGGTTTTGCCCCATTTTACTTGCCTCGGCTGTTAAATGTGTCACTGCAGTGGATAAGTTAGTCACCTGATTGTTAAAGGAATCTGGCTTCCCCAATGAGTTGGTTTGTCAGAAGGCCACAAAAGGGGATCACCGGACACAGTGACTGTCATAAATACGAGTCAGTTGCCGAGTGTCTGAACCTACGGATGCTGCAGAGGTTGTAACTGTGAAAAACGGTCATAAGTCGCTTTTTTCAGTGCCGTGGTAACTTTGAAGAGTTACTGAATGAACTGCTGTAAGTCTACCTGTATCTATAGACCCCCCACATCCTGGATGTAACCTGTTTTAATTTCTTCCCTCAAGACGACGCTATAGGCAGGGGTGGGATTCAGCCGGTTTGTCGTTGCAAACCGTTGCAACCTGCAGATGGGCTCTCCCTCCCGCCATCCTATTTAGCTGCGTTTTTTTAAGTCGTGTGCAGTCACATTTTCGGTGTTGGGCGAACCGATTGTTAAATTATGTGAAGTCCACTTGTGACTATAGGGCATTGCATGCCAAAATAATTAGATCAGTGTTTCTCAACCTTGGAAGCTTGAAGATGGGTGGACTTCAACTCCCAGAATCCCCCAGCCAGCGCTGCTGGCTGGGGGATTCTGGGAGTTGAAGTCCACCCATCTTCAAGCTTCCAAGGTTGAGAAACACTGAATTAGATACAAACAGTTTTTTCTTCACGCCATCACTACTAAACACCGAATTCCCACAGTATTGTCTTATGCCCATTTACCCATGCGGTGCTGGAGAAGACTCATGTGAGTCTCTTGGCTTGCAAGGTGATCCAACCGGTCAGTCCTAGAGGAGATCAACCCTGACTGCTCTTTAGAAGGCCAGATCCTGAAGATGAAACTCAAATACTTTGGCCACCTAATGAGAAGGAAGGACTCACTGGAGAAGAGCCTAATGCTGGGAACGATGGAGGGCAAAAGAAGAAAGGGATGGCAGAGAAGGAGGTGGCTGGATGGAGTCACTGAAGCAGTCGGCATGAGCTTAAATGGTCTCCGTGCAGTGGCAAAATTCAAATTTTTTTACTACTGGTTCTGTGGGCATGGCTTGGTGGGCGTGGCAGGATACTGCAAAATCCCCATTCCCGCCCCACTCCTGGGGGAAGGATATTGCAAAATCTCCATTCCCACCCCACTCTGGGGCCAGCCAAAGGTGGTATTTGCTGGTTCTCTGAACTACTCAAAATTTCCGCTACTGGTTCTCCAGAACCTGTCAGAACCTGCTGAATAGCAGCCCTGTCTCCGGGGGATGGTAGAAGACAGGAAGGCCTGGAGGAGCATTGTCCATGCGGTCACAATGGGTCGGACACGACTTCGCGACTAACAACAAAAACAACAATAGTATTATTATTATTATTATCCTTCCCATCTTACTGGTATCATGTTTATGATTATTATTATTATCACTTTGTTGTTTTGCATGAGAGTTTCTGCACCGGAGACAAATTCTTTGTGTCTCCAATCACACTTGGCCAATAAAGAATATTCTCTTCTATTATAGGTAGGACATGGAGTGAGCCAGAATACGGGACTTAAATGACTATTGATCGTTGCAAACTGCACATTAGCAGCTGATGGGTTCATTAGCAAAGTGTTTGATAACACGAATCCCAGTGAGAGGGTACCTGTAACAGAAGACAAAGTTTGCAACACTCTTAAGACAGAGAAGGAAGTCACTCAAATTGAAAGAAAGAGCAACGATATTCCCTCCGGGACTAACAGAACAGGAAAAAAGAACAACCGTTGCTCAATTCCGTGCAGTTTCAGCTTCAGAACAATTGATTGGTCCTCTAATCAATACAATCCTTTGCCTTGCCTCTTTGCCCTTTTCTGCTAAGCTGCCTGGAAGGGAGAAAAAGGAAGGAAGGAAGGAAGGAAGGAAGGAAGGAAGGAAGGAAGGAAGGAAGGAAGGAAGGAGAGAGAGAGAGAGAGAGAGAAAGAGAGAGAGAGAGAGACAAGAGGGAAGGGAAGAAGGAAGGAAAATTTATTTATTATTTTATTTATTATTTAAATTTTTATACCGCCCTTCTCCCAAAGGACTCAGGACGGTGCACAGTCAACATTAAAACACATATATAAACAAAATTTAAAAGCAATTTAAAAATATATGAAATAATTTGGCCCCAATCTTATTAAAAAACTAAAACAAGCATTAAAATTCATGTTTAGGCCAGCCCAGCTTGTTGAAACAATAAGGTCTTGAGGGCACAGCGAAAGGTGCGTAGCTCGCAAGAGAAAGAAAGAAAGAAAGAAAAAGAAAGAAAGAAGAGAGAAAGAAGGAGGGAAGGAAGGAAGGAAAAGCAAAAGAAAGAAAGAGAAAGAAAGAGAAAGAAGCAGGGAAGGAAGGAAAAGAAAGAAAGAAAAAGAAAGAAAGAAAGAAAAGGAGAGAAAGAAAGAGGGAAGGAAGAAAGAAAGAGGGAGAGAGGAAGGAAGGAAAATAGAAAGAAAGAAAGAAAGAGAAAAAAGGAGGGAAAGAAGGAAGGAAGGAAGAGAAAGAAAGAGAAAGAAGGAGGGAAGGAAGAAAGAAAAAAGAGAAAGAAAGAAAGAGAGAGAGAGAGGAAGGAAGGAAGGAAGGAAGGAAGGAAGGAAGGAAGGAAGGAAGGAAGGAAGGAAGGGAAGGTAACCTTGGAATTCCAATAACCAATAACTAATGAGTCTATAAAGAACATAACACTAAAAGAACAAGCATTTGAAGCTGAAGACTTACAACTGGTAGAAGATGTCCATATTTACAACAGGGCTGAATTTTATTATATTTCCTGTCGTTGATGCCTGAACTTGCCACGGCTTGTCATTATTTAATCCGCAAGATTCGCGTTCAAGAAAACACAAGTCATCGTAATTTGTAGGTAGAATTTTGTGGTGCGACATTTACTTTCCGAATATGTTCTCTGCAGAAAAAAAAAATCCCCTAGAATTCTTTTAAAAACCGAAGCCCAGCATTTAGCAGTAAATCCATCTTCGGCACAAAAGCTTTGAATCCAATTCAGCCACGACTATAAAAAGAATGATGTGAGTAATATCATCTCCCGTAACATATTTAGCTCAGATTGCAAGTTTTCTGGGACAGAAGTAGTAAAATATTACTGTTGTAATTAGAACTCTCTGCGTTTGATGGGACTTCTGACATGTTTTTCTTTTCAATGTCACCGATTCCTTCTCCGTCAGAAAGTTGAGACTTCCAGCTGACATTACGGCACTACCAGTCACAAGAAATGGAGCTCTCTGTTCCTGTGCTGGCTTCTCCCTGTTTGTGGGCTCCAAAAGGAGACAAAGCCACCTTGTAGGGGCGGAGAAGCTAAGGAGGTGGCACCCTGAGAGGTCGCAGGAAAGATTGCAACTCTCCTGCTGAATCCCGGGGCTTTTTTCCCCTCTATGCCATGGTGAGGAGAAGAGGCAGTCTAAGATGGATGCCATGAAGCTGGGACAGCCGACAAACATCTAAGCACTGTGCAGGAGCGGAGTTTGATGAATAGCGTGTGAACTGGGCGAGAGAATATTTTCTGTTAAAATTTGACCCCAAAGAAATCTAGGGGGAATATATATTTAGAACTATTTGTTAAAGTGGTGAACAAGCACTTTGAAAAACTACTAAACCAGGAGGAGGAGAAGACGTGATATTGAGAAGGCATTTTAAAATGCTGGGACTATGGACTTAAAAAGAAAGTCAAACCTGCTTCGTGGTGGCCCCATTTTCCAAACTGTAAAACCAATTCCATCAGAAGGCCTTACCTTATTTCCCAGGTATCTTGCTGCAATGGCACAGAATAATCTACAGGTAAACCTCAATTTACAGAAATTCATTTAGTGACCGTTCGAAGTTGCAATGGCACTGAAAAAAATGGCTTATGCCTCTTTTTCACACTTATGACAGTTGCAGCCTCCCCGTGGTCACGTGATCAAAATTCAGATGCTTGGCAACTGACTCATATTTATGACAGTTGCAGTGTCCCGGGGTTACATGATTCCCTTTTGCGACTTTCTGACAAGCAAAGTCAACGCAAAAGCCAGATTCACTTAACAACTGTGTTACTGAATATCTCTCTCTACTGAATACTGCTGTAGTTGTTGTACTAAATACATGAACGTTGTATTCCAACAGTTAGATGTTAGGTCTTCCCTGCCTTTATGCTTGACCTCCCACCTTCTTGGACCTGTTGGAAGAAATGTCCATCTGGGTTTTAGTTCCAAGTGGGGAGAAAGGCACTGGAAACATGGTGGCTGATTGGAAAGATGGTTTAATGGTGGACAGGATCACATGATTTCCTGGGCAGAAAGGGGCAGAGATGCTGAGAATGCCTGGGTTTTATACCCTCCGTTGGGCTTTGAATTTGAACTTGTGCTCTGATTGGTTGTCGGACTCCCATGGGGCCATGCAGGGGTAACTTTGTAGGTTGTCTTCTGAGTTCTGAGCTTGGTTGACTCGTGCTGGGTGATGATGTAATGAACGGGCTTTGGGCAATTCCTCCTATGACTCTGCTTGAAGGAGGTAGATCTTTGTTATATAGAATGGACTGGCCCAGGCATTAATGGCCCATTGACAAAGACGTGGGGTGGAGGGAGCTGAGTTTCTGCCTCCCTTTTAGGGGAAATATTCTGCCCTTTTAATATTTCCTAAAACATCTCATTTTCCTAGGAGAGGGATGGGTGCTAACTTCCTACAGACCCATGCGCAAAGTAGACAATAAAGCATCTCAGAAGATTCCAGTTTCATTTCATTTATTGGAGGAAAATTATTCTCTATATCCCTTAAATAATCTTTATGATAGAAATCTCGCTAAGTACTGTATACATGATTGTCAAGGCAGAGAATAATTTGCAACACAGCCCCATGAACGATTTGTAACATCGCAAACTCCTTAGGCGGGTTAAACATTTTGCTATGCCTTGTTTACATGCACTGAGTAAATACACGTTGCCCTTCTCAAAGATGGTTTTTATGGAACTGAATTGATTACAAGACTTATAATAACAGGCACATCGAACATTCCTGGATTAAATTTGCAAGTTTGCAAGGAAAAATTTTTTCCCCTTTTTTAATGGACTTTTTAAAAACATTTTTTTTAAAAAAAAACATGCTCACTTTTTTTTTGTTGTTTGTTGTAAAAATAAAAGTAAGAATGAGATGTTTTGCCATTAAATGCCATGTTTAAGAACCGTTCCAGATTTGGATCCGAGTAAAACCAAGCTTTTTTTAAAAAAACAAATAAACAAATAAAACAACCCAAATGAATAAAATGTACATAAAAGGCTGGATTTCATTAAGGAACAAAAGTCTTCAGTCCGCTTCAGTCACAAGCAATCGGTCACATGTAACAATAGTAGCTCGGCTTGAAAATATACATCCAAAGTCTTACCCAGGCCATTGAATGAGTCTTGAAAGTACATTGCAATAGGGAATAGAGAACACACAAAATAATCAACAATATATGTCATTCCTATTTGGTTGCCGCCGGATCTCACAGCCCAAAGCATCCAGAAAGCTTAAGGCTACAAAACTAAACTTACTTACAGAGGAGCAAGTCTCATGGAATCCGAATGGGCTTTTTTTTCCCCAATTATGTACCCGTAAGGTTTTGTCAGAAAAATAATTAATTTCAGTGTGACTTAAACATCTTCGTTTGCAAGTATTTTTTTTACTTTGCCTAGGGTGCACTTCTACAATTCACGGAATGGGACAATGTGCCTCCGCCAACTCACTGCAGCCATGGGAAAAATTAGAAATAGGCTTCTATCTATACCTCCCAGCTTTCAAACTCTAGCTTTCAAACTTCTCACTGACCTCTGCCAAGAAATTCCTGTGGAAACATCCTGTTGCAGAGGATTATGTAATATTTAATGGAACTTTCCTTTTTCTTTCTTCCCAAAAGCATAAATGGATGCAATGCATAGGTAGATAAAAGAAGTTCTCCTCCATCATTTTTGCTATTGGAATACAATCCTCTCCTGTATAACATGACGAGAACTTAGACAATTTCCAATTCTGTGTCCCACAAGAGGAAAGATGGAATTTCAAGGTGTTTTTTTGTTCATGCTTTCTGATCTTCCTAGCAAAGCAACATTTGAAACTTCCTTAATCCTTACTTGGTTAGCTTTTCCACTTTCGTGAGTAAGCCATGACTCAGAAGTTATATAGAATGAGATACGTTTTACAAAAAAAAAAAAAAAATCAGATTTAAGAGATGGAGAGAAAGCCTTCGGATTCGGAAGGTGTTTTCATACAAAGGCAAAGATTGGGAAAGCAAGCTCAATCATTAAAACATGCAGTGCAGTTTCATGCATTTTTTTTCCCCTTCAACATCTCGGAGTTGTTAATTCTTCCAAGCAACAATTCCCAATTCTGTACCAAGGCTTGGCTTCCCGGATCTGTTTCCCACCATTCCTCAATTTGGGTGGGGAAAAAAAAATTGAAAACCTCACACAAAACCAGAACTATATTGTTTTCCCATCAAGAAAATAATAAACTCTCTTTTTTTTTAAAAATGTTTCTATAGATAAATGTACTGCCCTTAGTAGGCATGTATCGGTTTATTATTATTATTTTTTAAAAGATAAAAATAGAATCTATTTTCCCCTCTTCTGTAACCTAGAGACCCTTTTCAAAACTTTGCATTTTTTTTTTAAAAAAAATGATGAATGACATAATGATTCTAAAACTACCTGCAATCTAAGATGAAACAAAACCAGGCATGAAGATCAGGGGCCGGGACTCTGAGATTTAGAATGGGTACTTTTCAAACTTCTCATTACTAAAATAGATGTTTTAAAAAAAACATTTGCCTTGATTGAAAAAATATTTGATTTATGAAAAATAGGAGCATCGGTGAATTTTTTCCCCCCAGATTGAAATAAAATAGAACAGTGATTCTCCTTTGTTACATGGTTTTTCTAGTCCTACCAAATTATTATTGTAGCTCAGGGTTGAAATGAGAGATCCTTGTTGCTCTCCAAGCTTGGTTATTTCCCTACAGACATTTCATGACCCAACTAGGTAACATCATCAAGTCTGCTAGTCTGGACAGGCTTTATATTGTAAAGCCTCGGAATAAAGGGAAAAATGAGACAAGAGAAAGGAATAAGGGAGAGAGAAACACTGTTAGGAGTTAATTCTGGCCATCAGCCATGGGGTCCAGCCCAAATTAAGCATTTCTATTGATTTTAATGGGAAGGACGTAAGCATATCAGTGTTTTTCTCACAGTTTTTCTCACAGTGTTTTTCTGACTGTCGCTTTATCCTGTGCTATTGGTTTATATTCTTGCATCATGTAGATGATTTTATTAACCAGTCTTTTTTTAATCAGACAGGCAAAATCTGCAAGAGAAAGGGACATTTTTCCAAGTTTTTTCATGGGGATGGCACTGGAATTAAAACCGCATAGACTGATCTAAATATTCAAATGTACGTCCTGGAAATTAACCTAAGCCATATACTGTATTTTCAGAAGACAGGATTCTGCTGGTGCCTTTACCCATGGCTTAAAATTCACAGCGCAGCAACAGATGTTTACATCTGTTTTGGTTTGAGCTTTCAATCCAGAACCAGCGGTTTTGAAGTATTATGGACTCCAGTAACACGGTCTCTGCCGTTAAAGTAGTATTTTCTTCCTCGTTTTGAACCGGTGCATATGTCAATCTGTGGAGAGGTGTTAGACCCTACACCTATAGTTTAAGAAGAGAATTCCAAGAAACGGGATAGGAAAGATCTAAATTTTGTGTCAAAATTATTGTCCCAAAGATGCTTTTTCAAGAGGCAACTGGACTTTCTGGGTTTTCTTTTCTTTGAAGACATTTCGCTTCTCATCCAAGAAGCCTCTTCAGTTCTGAAGCTCCTTGGAGGAGAAGTGAAACGTCTTCAAAGAAAAACCAAGGAAGCTCAGTTCCCCCTTGAAAAAGCACCTTTGGACAACCATGACCTGGATGACGGAGAATCTCCATAGACATCTGTCAAAATTATTATAGTTTTTTTTCCCGTGGCTCAAGAATGGCTGGAGAGAATTCAGACTGGCGGTTGGGCGTCAAATTCTTCTTCTTGATTGTGGATCCATTTGAGCTAAATCAAGACAACATAAAAAGGATTTCCTCCTTCTCATTTTAAATCCCGGACCTAGTCTTTGACAGAAAGACTTCTAGCAAAATCCACCTTTATTCCGAGTGCCTCACGCCAGCAATTTCTTTCCAGATTTGCAAAGCGGTATATTTGAGTCTTAAGGAAACCACAATGGAAAAAAATCAGATGCATTTTTGTGCCTGGCTGGGAAGGTCATATTTCAATGCAAGGTGGATTTTAAGATCACAATTGCCCAACATTTCTGGAAGAAACAGACTCAGCAATCACTCCACAGCTTACTGCAAATGACTGTACTGGGGAAAAAAATGCACACCTTTTCTAATTGTAATTCATGGGGACAAAAATTACATTTTGCCTGGGTGAAAGCTTATCCAGCTCCTTTGCTTAGGAAACTCGATTTAAAACAAACTATTCCATATTTTACTAGAAAGCCTTTTACAGCACATTGATTTCCTGACGTATCTATTCTGCTATATTTATGAATTTCCCCAGTCCCACACCGTTTCATTCTTTGCTTTTTATACTGTCACTTTATACTTCCATATCCTTTTTACACCGTATAGAATATGCTGGTCTTTGGCCATAATAAAGTTTTTGTAAGGTGTTTTTTTTTCTCCCAACTCCTCAGTTTAATTGAAAAGGGGAAAAAACCACAGGGAAATTCTTAAAGCCCCATTTTGGAGCCCGTGAAGATGAGTCTGATGCGAATACAAACAGAGAATAAAACATTATAACTGTGATTAGCACAGAATCTTATTCTTACACCCAACCCATGAAACCTTCCCCTTCCGTTGGTGGGACTGGAAGGAAATGGGAGCCTGTTCCCATTTTCTTGACAAAATAGGATGCAAAAAGAGTTCGTTTTCGATGTCACTGCGAGATCCAGACAAGTCTGCAGTCCAGAGTTATGGAGTTAAGAAAAAAATATGTACATATATGTACATATAAAACACGCCGCGAAATCCTTCCTGATTTAAAAGATTAATGCATGAATACTTCTTTGTATTCTCTACTTTTGGAGAGGAAAAAAAAAGAGGAAAAAAACCACCCCCCAACAAAGCTAAAAATACAAAAATACAACAGAAAAATAATAATAATAATGTTTGAAATTACTCTAAATCATCCAGTTGAACTATTTCGTTAATGATTAAACAAAAAGCTGGTTAACACTGAGAACAGAGTTAAATCATTGAGGAACTAACAACAGGTCCAACCTAAGTCAGAACATTTTGGATTCCTGGAACCAGAACCAGGTGCTGCTCCCATCTCCATCTTCCTGAAGTCCCTTCCGCTCGCGACGAATGCAACTTTTCAGAATCGCGGTATAAAATATGGCCATTTATTTGTGTGTGAGTGTTTGAAATCCTTCTATTCTTCTAATGCTTCGATGTGTTTGCAATGCAGGATGAAATCACCTGGGAGAAAGTTTGCCTCCCTGCCTGTTTGGGCACCGAGATGGTTCTTTTCTCCCATCTCTGACATCTTCCTTGTGGGTGGGATCATGGGGGTGACCTTTGGATCACTTGGTCCCTGTGTGTATTGTCGTTGTGGTTATCGTGGTCTGTCTGGGCCTCCTCTCTCCTCCAGCAGAAATACCGGGCGAAGCTGAAGAAGCAAAACTACAGGGAGTAGATGAGGGAATACCTGAAGGAAGCGAGAGAAAGAGAAGAGACATCACTAATCAATTTCTATTCCAGGGGTCTGCAATCTTAAACACTCAAAGAGCATTTGAACCTGTTTCCCACAGAAAAGAAAACACCGGGAGCCACAAAACCTTTCCTGTGCCTGACTATTTCTTGAGCGGCCACAAAACTAGCATATGTAGTTCTGTTTTCTCCTGAAACTTTTCTTTTCTTGGATTTATCCATGGTTGGCCTACCGGGGGTTGAAAAGCTCAGTAAATCACGTGCCGGCGAGTGTCGCACATTGGCGGTTGTGACACATATTTTGAGTGACAGGGAGCCGCAGCAGAGGGGTGAAAGAGCCACATGTGGCTCCAGAGCTGCAGGTTGCTGACCCCTGGATTAAAGAGTAGAAAAGCAAAGACTCCTAAAATCTACATCCCCCCTCACCCAGCTCCAAGGACAGAGCATGACCTCCCAGCCACAATGGGAATCAGGCAACGTTTTGACAGGCTCACAACCCTGTCGATCTTGCTAGAAAGAAAAACTTTTAAGGTACTGGTAGGATTTTAGCTAAGGTTTTAAAGGACCTTGCAGAGTGCTCTGTAAGGATTTTTGGAAGATTTTAACATAGGATTTTAAACATTTTAACTAAGCTATTTAACATGATGCGGGAAAACACCCGAGATTTTAATTTTTTGCATATACACACCCGCGAAAATTTAAGAAGACATACACACACACACACACACACGCCAAACCAGCCTTAATGAGTATTTAACTTGTAAATCAAGAGTGCTTTGTATTGTGGTAGATTTAGTTAGTCATATATTAACTATTCTGTTTTTTGTATTTATTAATGTTTTTACATCTTTTGATAGCTTTTTAAAAGAATTTTGTACTGTCTGTCTGTCTGTCTGTCTTTCTCTCTCTCTCTCTCTCTCTCTCCTTCTATAACTATCTCTATCTCTATCTCTATCTCTATCTCCATCCATCATCTATCTATCTATCTATCTATCTATCTATCTATCTATCTATCATCTATCTATCTATCTATCTATCTATCATCTATCTCTATCCATCCATCCATCCGATCTATCAATCTATTGATCAATCAATCAATCTATCTGTCTGTCTGTTTGTTTGTCTATCTATCTAGCTATATAATCTCTCTCTCTCACTCTCTCCCTCCCTCCCTCCCCCCTCTCTCTTTAAAATATTTTATGTGTTTTAGCCTTTTTTAGTTTTTAAAATTATTGTTTGCATTCTACCATCTTATGCTGATCTGGGGCCATAATAAATAAATACAGTCTTATTGGATTGGAAAAAAAGATTCACTCCAATGATCTTCTTTGCAAGCTCATATTATTCTCATCTGAACCACATGTCCCTGATCAGAATACTGATGATGGAAGAAGCCCAGGCTTCTGTCCCCTGAAGCTGCATTTAGATACCGAACTCCAAAACGGGAATAAATCTTCTTCAGGTCTTAGCGACATGAATTCCCCGAGGGGCTGCCTTGTTGACTATCTCTAAAAGACCATCCTTTTGCTCTGGAGAGGAAACGACATTCGGAGATCAGAGACATTGAATTCTGCCGATAGGAATGACAGCGATATGATTCAAGCCAGCCCCCTGTGAGACCGGCTGAACTTTAGGGAACAACTTGATTTTGGTAATGGGGTCAAATCCTGTGCTCCAGGAAATTCAGACCAGCTCCAAATATAATAATGTTTTCAGAGGAAGACAAACCATCTCTAGGGCTGCATTATTATGGAGGCTAAAACATATGAAGAACGTTTTCTGGAATTGGGTATGTCTAGTTTAAGGGAAAGAAGGATTAGGGGAGACATGATAGCAGTCTTCCGATATCTCAGGGGCTGCCACAAAGAAGGGGGTGTCCACCTATTCTCCAAAGCACCTGAAGGCAGGACAAGAAACCATGGATGGAAACTAATCAAGGAGAGAAGCTACCTAGAACTAAGAAGACATTAACCAACTAATCAATGGAACGACTTGCCTCCAGAAGTTATGAATGCTCCAACACTGGAAGTTTTTATTATTGTTCTCACTAATTATTGTTCTCCCTGCCAGGAAATTACTCCTGAGTTCTAGGTTGCTTCTCTCCTTGATTAGTTTCCACCCGTTGCTTCTTGTCCTGCCCTCAGGTGATTTGGACAATAGCTTGACTCCCTCTTCTTTGGGGCAGCCCCTGAGATATTGTAAGACTGCTATCATGTCTCCCTTGGTCCTTCTTTTCATCAGACTAGACATACCCAGTTCCTGCAACCGTTCTTCATGTTTCATCCTCCAGTCCCCTAATCAGCTTTGTTGCTCTTCTCTGCACTCTTTCCAGAGTCTCAATCTCTTCTTTATATCATGCAGAAGATGGCCAATGTTATATGTAGCAGGAGGTGGTCAATATTGGATTATATTAAGCCTTGCGCCAAACCCCTGGTTTACACATATACACACCCACTGCTACATGCCATGTACTTACACTCTTTCCTGGGGGCTCCATCCGGGAGCGGGTTGGCCAAACTAAGGTTGTTTGATACACTAATGTTGGAACCGCTATCCAAACTGCTGCCAAGGTGTAACCTCCGCATGTGTCTCACCACAGCTGTGGCATTAAAAGCTTGCTGGAAAAGAAGAGACCAAAGAAAAGGAATTTCAGAGAAAGAGAATGAACATGGCGCTACTACAGAATACTTCAGAATATCTGCTCTCCCACCATATAGGATTGCTGAAGATACCCTCATATTGAGAGGGCACGGTTGTATACTGGCAAGTTTGGATTTACAACCGTTTGTTTAGGGACTGTTCAAAGTTACAACGGCACGGAAAAAAAGTGAGTGAAATCCGTTCCTCACATTGATGGCCATTGCAGCATCCCTCCTGTGATGTGACCATAACTCAGGCACAAATATTCAGAATGTATTTGCAATGGCCGTAGCATCCTAGGGTCTCGTGATCGCCACTAGGCACCTTCCCAGCTGGCTTCCAATGAGCAAAGTTAATGCTGGTTTGACTGGGGCAAGCTAAATTTTCCTGAGGAGAACAAGATATCATAACCTTGGAAAGCAACGAGAAAACGTTTTCACGCATGCCTTAGAAAGCATGCATGCATTGTGAATGAATGAATGAATGAATGAATGAATGAATGAGTGAGTGAGTGAGTGAGTGAGTGAGTGAGTGAGTGAGTCAGTCAGTCAGTCAGTCAGTCAGTCAGTCAGTCAGTCAGTCAGTCAGTCAGTTAACCAGTCATTCATCCAGTCGGTCATCCAGTCATCCAGTCAGTCAGTCAGTCAGTCAGTCAGTCAGTCAGTCATCCAGTCAGTCATTCATTCAGTCATTCATCCAGTCAGTCAATCATCCAGTCAGTCATTCATTCAGTCAGTAATTCAGTCAGTCAATCAGCCAGTCAATCATCCATCCAGCCAGCCAGTCAATCGTCCAGTCAGTCAATCATCCAGTCAGTCAGTCAGTCATCCAATCAGTCAGTCATTCAGTCAATCATCCAGTCAGTCAGTCAGTCAGTCAGTCAGTCAGTCAGTCAGTCAGTCAGTCAGTCATCCAATCAATCAGTCATTCAGTCATTCATCCAGTCAGTCAATCATCCAGTCAATCATCCAGTCAGTCATCCAGTCAGTCAGTCAGTCAGTCATCCAGTCAGTCAATCATCCAGTCAATCATCCAATCAGTCAGTCATCCAGTCAGTCAGTCAGCCAGTCAGTCAGTCTTCTCCATCAGTGTAAACCATCTGAGAACTTACTCTCCATTTGCTTTTCGCAAAGTTCTTGCGAATCTGAGCGCTGACGGACTCGTGGATATTTTTGTTGAGGGCTGTGTCACCAGCGATCCTGGGGAAAAAAATAAAGAAGATGTTTGATGAAGTTCTCGTTTCTGACAGTTTACAACTGTAGGAACGTTCCTCGTCATTCTTACCGAGACAAGAATGAAATCCAGCTCTACATTTTTTAATCACCGGGTTCAGTAAGAGGATAACTGCCCTGATGGTTACCAAGGAAACTCAGAATTAAATGCAGCGGTGCGTTTTATTCTTGGATGAAAAAAAAAATCATCTCCCATAAAATGAGCCTCAGGAAAGCTCTCTGTAGACCTCCCTACCAGCAGGGTTAAATTTAGTGAAGGACCAAAATCATATAGCTTACTCACTCAAAATTGCCTAATCTTTGCTTTCATGTAGCATTTGTTCAGTTGGAACTTCTTCTGGCTATCAGACCAAGTCATGGTTGACCTGGAAGCAGACTCTCGAACAGAAATCCTGATTCTGGACAGGGGCTACGTGCTCAAGAGTTTTCCACCCATTAAGATCATGATCTGGGTGGGATATAGACCATTTCTTTAATGTCTCTTCCTGCCTTGATATAGTATCTGCTGTTGAAGCAATTCCCTGAGGACTTTTGAGATGAGAGGCGCTTGAAGGGGTCACATCAGGGAGCCTTCACTGTGATGATACCCTTACTGCAGAATATCTTCTCTAGAAAAGCATCGTTAGTTCACCTGCCATTTTCAGCATCAGTAGCAGTGCTTTCATCTCATGGAGAGAAGCCACCGAGGAAAGATGGAAGCAACGAGAAGAAAAGGAGAGCAAGGAGGAACTCAAAAGGTTTTCTTTGACCTGACTCAACTTCTGGAGACTCCGTAAACTCACCCATGTATTTTTCATGGCAACAAGAGCAAAAGTGCCTTTTTTCAAGAGGCAACTGGACTTTCAGGTTTTTCTTTTGCTTCTCATCCAAGAAGCACCTCAAAGACCCTCTAAAAGGATGCAAATGACCAGCTGTCTGCAAGGAATACAAATCCTTCCCTTCCGCAGCATCCGGTCTCCGGTCAGAGCTGAAGAAACTTCTCGGAGGAGAAGCAAAAGGTCTTCAAAACAAAAACCGAAGGTAGAAAGTCCAGTTGCATCTTGAAAAAAGCACCTTTGGGACAACCATCACCTGGATAACTGAGAATCTCCATACACAAGAGCAAAGTTGGTTTCTTCAGGGACTATCAGGTGCAAAGAATCAGGATATGTTAAATTGCAGTTCAGAACATTTATTGCTCAACTCTATCCACAAGAATCCAGTCAACTAAAGTTCAAATCTAAATTGGTGCCAGGTAAGGGTCATCTTGGACTGCAAGGCCATCCAAACGGTCAGTCCTAGAGGAGATCAACCCTGACTGACTGCTCTTGAGAAGGCCAGATCCTGAAGATGAAACTCAAATGCTTTGGCCACCTAATGAGAAGGAAGGACTCCCTGGAGAAGAGCCTAATGCTGGGAACGATGGAGGGCAAAAGAAGAAGAAGGGGATGGCAGAGAAGGAGGTGGCTGGATGGAGTCACAGAAGCAGTCGGCGTGAGCATAAATGGACTCCAGAGGATGGTCAAGGACAGGAAGGCCTGGAGGAACATGGTCCATGGGGTCGTGATGGGTCGGACACAACTTCGCAACTAACAACAACAAGGGTCATCTGAATTCAAAAGGGGTTGGATTTAAACCATTTGTGACAATGTACTGACTCTTGGTTAATGACTTGTTTAACTCCCTCCCAGCTCTGTCTGCTCTTTTCCTACAGGATCATGGTTTCAGATTCCCAAACTAGCTTACAACTCCATGGCTTCCTGGTGGCGAATCTCCCATTCGAATATTCCGCAGGGCTGATTCTATTTTGCTTTTTTGGCAAGCCAGTGTCGCTTGGATCTTGCCAAGGAAAACATCTGGCCAAGAAGAGATATCTAAGCTTTTGGGATTTTATTGTGGATGGGTCAATGGAAAGCCTTGGCACACCTTCAATCGGCCACCTGCTGAACACTGGAAGGTTTCCTTTCCTTCCATAAACAAAAGGACCTGAGCTCTCTTTAACAGCTTCCTGCCAAAATTTGTCAGGTCAAACTTTTCTGGCCTGGCCTGGTAAATGAGTGGGAAGATCCCCTCAGCCCTCAACCATCAGAAATCCAGAGCTGGCCTTCTCCCTTCAAAGTATCTTCTATGCTTTTGACCAGTTGACTTATTCTTTGTTTTTCTGCTTTCCTATTTGTGTTGGTGGGACATCCTCAAGACCGGAGTACTGTATGTGGTTTAGATTTAGAATAGAATAGAATAGAATAGAATAGAATAGAATAGAATAGAATAGAATAGAATAGAATAGAATAGAATAGAATAGAATAGAATAGAATAGAATAGAATCACAGAGTTGGAAGGGACCTTGGAGGTCTTCTAGTCCAACCCCCTGGCAGGAAACCCTACACCACTTCAGACAAATGGTTATCCAACATCTTCTGAAAAACTTCCAGTGCTGGAGCATTCACAACTTCTGGAGGCAAGATGTTCCACTGATGAATTGTTCTGACTGTCAGGAAATTTCTCCTTAGTCCTAAATTGCTCTCCTTGATTAGTTTCCATCCGTTGCTTCTTGTTCTGCCTTCAGGTGCTTTGGAGAATAGCTTGACTCCCTCTTCTTTGGGGCAGCCCCTGAGATATTGCAACACTGCTATCATGTCTCCCCTGGTCCTTCTCTTCATCAAATTAGACATACCCAGTTCCTGTAACTGTTCTTCATATGTTTTAGCCTCCAGCCCGCTAATCCTCTTTGTTGCTCTTCTCTGCACTCTTTCTAGAGTCTCCACATCTTTTTTGCATTGTGGTGACCAAAACTGGATGCAGTATTCCAAGCGTGGCCTTACCAAGGCCTTATAAAGTGATATTAACCCTTCAGATGATCTTGATTCCATCCCTCTGTTTATGCAGCCTAGAACTGTGTTGGCTTTTTTGGCAGCTGCTGCACACGGCTGGCTCCTATTTAAGCGATTGTCCACTAGGATTCCAAGATCCCCTCACAGTTACTACTATTGAGCAAGGTACCACATATACTTTTTCTTTTTATCAAAAGAAGTAAGGAACATTTGCAGCCAGTGAGGAAGGATACATGAAATCTGATCAGCAAAGCACAGTCAGGACAAGATATGCTACACTCATGATTTCGGCCACCACAGCAACGATTTAAGATATTCAAAGCAACTCGTTAAATGTTCTTTGGTGTAATTTAAATCAACGAACCCTCACTGCTCGATGGAACGGAAACTCTAAAGCAAACTGCAGGAAAAATAGCAGAAATGGCAAGTACTACTGGGTGTAGTTCCCAGTCAGCTAGCCTCAGCACTGCATAGTAAAATAATCAGATATTTGCTTCATATTGTCCAATGATTCTGGATTAAATCTAAAGGAGGGGTTTCCGTCTATGCTGAATCACAAAATGTTCTGCAAAAAAAATAACAATGGAATCTGATGTCCATGGAGATTCTCAGTCACCCTCCACCATTCAGTCAGAACTGAAGAAGCTTCTTGGATGAGAAGTGAAACCTCTTCAAGGAAAAAACAAAGAAATTCCAGTTGCCTTTTGAAAAATCACCTTTGGGACAACAGATCTTGATGCTCATTGAAAGGGACTGAAATTATCTTTTTTTATTTTTCTTCATTATAATTTTTCTTCTATACCTTTGTTTTTCTTGAAGTTTATCAACCTGCTTCCCTCATCTTGCTAAACATGCAGGAATCGAATTGGATTTATTTTTACTACACATGGTCCTAGGGCAAAATTCATAGTTTTTTGTCTCATCAAGGCTACAGATTATTATTATCACTCAATGTCACCGTTTAAAATTATGCACTTGCTTCTCGGGGATAATTAAAGAACAGCTTCAAACAACACAGTCGATCTATTGGAGAAGCATAGCTAGACAAACAATCCAAAATTAAGGATATCAATTCCCACTGCAAAACTTCAGGCAACCATTAGAGGGCAGCAAAATGGATGTTTTCGGTATCCTACTTCCCCCTAGTGGTCATTTATAGTTTAGCAGCTGTCGAGATACTTTGATCTCTCTTTGAGATGTGGGTTCATAACACAGGCAGTCCTCAACTGATGACCACAACTGAGCCCCAAATTTATGTTGTTAAGTGAGAAATTCATTAAGTGAACCGGTCATAAATATGAACTGGTTGTCAAGCATCCGAAATGTAAATCACCTGATCCTGGGGGAACCTACCACGGTCATAAGTGTGAAAAAAAATGGCCATAAGTAACTTTTTTCAATGCACTTGTAACTTCGGTCACTAAGTGAACTGTTTTAAATCAAGGATGGCCTGTACAATAAAGTTAATTCGATGGGAAAATATTACCTGAACCTTTTTCCATTTAAAAAAAAGAGAGGAGAAGGGTGAACACAAAAGGAATTGAGAGTTACAAGGAGGATGGCAGATTGCCATTTCCCTGGGAGCACATCGCAAATTTTCCTTTACGGTGAGCGAAAGAGCATTCAATTTTTCGGTCCTTCAATTTTCCATTAAAAAAATCTCTCGGCTTACCCAGACTGAATCTCAGATCTATGTGTATTGTCTGACTGCCGTCATAAGACCAGGTTGCCTGAAGCTTTAAATCCAAGTTTTATTTTGTTGGCAGCCTATGATATTATAATTAAATTTTCAGCGCCTTCTCTTTCTTCTTCAATATTTTTTTCCTTGGCACTGCGATCTTTTCCCCAGAGACAAATGAGGCTGGAATTGATGAACACGACAAACGATGGAAGAAACTGGCTTACCATGGGTGACGGGCAGCCTGTTCGCAGGTATATCTTTTATTGGGATCTTTCTCCATCAGGTTCCGAATAAAATCTTTAGCTGGGAGAAAGAAAAAGGTATTTGGTAGCTGAAGGAACAAAACGGCAGAGCGGTATTTATAAAGGCAACACGAGGTATCCTAAACACAATGAGAATACATCTGCTGAACAAGACTCCGCATTGGAGACAGGAAAGGCATCCGGCCAGTAAACATTCAGCTCCATTCACTTGCCCAGACTCCACCCCGCAAGGGATTACGGGGTCATTAAAAGATGATGGGTGCCATTGGCCAAATTATGTCGGCTGGCGACACCCAGGGGGAGGGCCTTCTCTGTGGGAGCCCCTGCCCTTTGGAATGAACTGCCCCCAGAAATTCGTAAGATCTCCGATCTCCGTGTATTTCGCTGTGCCCTCAAAACCTTGTTGTTCCGCCAGGCTGGGCTATCAGTGTAAAGATTTTAATCAGTTTTAAATATGGGATTTTAAATTTGGGGGTTTTATAATTGAGCCAATTATTTAATAATTTTAAATTATTTTTAAATTTCGTCTGTCTTTGTGCTTTTAATCAGGCTGTACACCGCCCTGAGTCCTTCGGGAGAAGGGCAGTATAGAAATAAAATTAATAAATAATAAATAAATAAATGAATGATGATGATTGCAAGGCAGCCCAAACCTGACTATAAAGGGAATTACATTAATAATCAATTCAACACATTGATTATGTAATGAAGCTCAGCTCAAACACTCAGCTTGATGCCATAATTCCTACAGTGTTATTTTACTTGCACAGTTGCTATTCATGGATTTCTCAGACAAGAAGATATATCTGGTTTTATTAACTGGAGACTGAGAATTGATTCACATAACAATATTAGAGAATCACAGAGTTGGGAGGGACCTTGGAGGTCTTCTAGTCCAACCCCCTGATCAGGCAGGAAACCCTACACCACTTCAGACAAATGGCTATCCAACATCTTCTTAAAAACTTCCGGCGTTGGAGCATTTACAACTTCTGGAGGCAAGGTGTTCCACTGATTAATTCTTCTAAATGTCAGGAAATTTCTCCTTAGTTCTAGGTTGCTTCTCTCCTTGATGAGTTTCCACCCATTGCTTCTTGTCCTACCCTCAGGTGCTTTGGAGAATAGCTTGACTCCCTCTTCTTTGGGGCAGCCCCTGAGATATTGGAACACTGCTATCATGTCTCCCCTAGTCCTTCTTTTCATTAAACTAGACATAACCAGTTCCTGCAATATATATATTTTAGCCTTCAGTCCCCTAATCCTCTTTGTTGCTCTTCTCTGCACTCTTTCTAGAGTCTTTTTTACATCGTGGCGACCAAAACTGGATGCAGGATTCCAAGTGTGGTCTTATCAAAGCCTTATAAAGCGCTACTAACACGTCACGTGATCTTGATTCTATCCCTCTGTTAATGCAGCCTGGGATTGTGTTGGCTTTTCTGGTGCTGTAACTGCACCATGTTAGAAAAAAAAAAGGGAGGGAAACAGGAGGAGGAAAGGCAGGAAATTGTGATTGCTCCATAGTAGGAATCGAGTTGTACACTAAACCAGTGTCTCCCAACCTTGACAGCTTTAAAATGTGTGGACTTCACCTCCCAGAATTCCCCAGCTAGCATGCGTGTAACATCATTCATAGCCCACCCTACAGCAGCTCTGACTAGGAAAACTATAAGGAAAATGCAAGATAAAAATTGTTGGTATCAGGGAATGATCCTAACTTGCGTTTCTTACCAGATTCAGAGATATCGTCCCAATAGGGAGAGTCAAATTCATATTCTGCTTTCAGAATTTGCTCAAAGAGCTTGGAGTCATTTTCGTCGTAGAACGGAGGGTAGCCACAGAGCCTGAAAAACACAATTAAAAATGGGGGAAGTGAGAGGTGGGGAAGAAAATCACTGAAGAAATCCTTAGGATTTTGTTTGGTCAACAGCTTTGGAGTTGGGCAATGCAAATGTCAGCTAAAGAACAGTTTTCTGTTTTAAAAAATGGAAGTTCTCCATCTTCAAGCTACCAGTCAAGAACAGCTAAGGAAATGTATGTAGTGCTACAATATTTGATAGCAGTCTTCCTGTAGGACAGGGGTGGGCAACTGTGGCCCTTTTACAACCTGTGGACTTCAACTCCCAGAATTCCTGAGACAGCTTAGCTGTCTCAGGAATTCTGGGAGTTGAAGTCCACAGGTTGTAAAAGGGCCACAGTTGCCCACCCCTGCTGTAGGAGAAGAAAAGGCAGGGACTGGGGGCGGCGTCAAGAGAGAACTTAACATAGAATCATTGATGTGATACCACTTACAGAATATAGGCGATCACTCCAATGGACCAGCAGTCGACTGCTTTGCTGTAGGGTTTCTGGGCAAGGACTTCAGGAGCTGCCGGAAGGAAAGAGGAAGGGAGAAAAATCAATCGATGAGAGAACATTGAATCAAACTGGCCGACACCCAACCAAGAACTCAAGGCGTGCTCACTGCAGCATGCCCTCCACTCTGCCCAATTGCCAACGTGCCAGAAATGGAGAGAACAGACAAGCTCAGAAGCCTGTCCTGTAACTCCTTCCTTCCTTCCTTCCTTCTTTCTTTCCTTCCCTTTCTCCTCCTCTTCCTTCTTTCTACTGATCCCCTTCCTTCCCCCCTCATTTCCTTCCTTCCTCCCTTCTCACCTCCTTCCCTTCCTTCCTTCCTAGCTGTCATTCCTATTTCCTTCCTTCCCTTTCTCCTCCTCTTCCTTCTTTCTACTCATCCACTTCCTCCCTCCCTCATTTCCTTCCTTCCTCCCTTCTCACCTCCTTCCCTTCCTTTCTTCCTAGCTGTCATTCCTATTTCCTTCCTTCCCTTTCTCCTCCTCTTCCTTCTTTCTACTCATCCACTTCCTCCCTCCCTCATTTCCTTCCTTCCTCCCTTCTCACCTCCTTCCCTTCCTTCCTTCCTAGCTGTCATTCCTATTTCCTTCCTTCCCTTTCTCCTCCTCTTCCTTCTTTCTACTCATCCACTTCCTCCCTCCCTCATTTCCTTCCTTCCTTCCTTCTCACCTCCTTCCCTTCCTTCCTTCCTTCCTAGCTGTCATTCCTATTTCCTTCCTTCCCTTTCTCCTCCTCTTCCTTCTTTCTACTCATCTACTTCCTCCCTCCCTCATTTCCTTCCTTCCTCCCTTCTCACCTCCTTTCCTTCCTTCCCTTTCTCCTCCTCTTCCTTCTTTCTACTCATCCACTTCCTCCCTCCCTCATTTCCTTCCTTCCTCCCTTCTCACCTCCTTCCCTTCCTTCCTAGCTGTCGTTCCTATTTCCTTCCTCTCTCCCTCCCTCCCTCTGTAATTCCTATTTCTTTCTTTCCTTCCTTCCTTCCTTCCTCCCTCCCTCCCTATTCCTATTTCCTTCCTCCCGTTGCGAACCGGTAATAAAAATAAGTGGAACCCACCCACTTCCATTTCTGGAATCACCAGAAATGTGCAGATTTATGGGAAGTAGTGAAGTTGGTTTAAGATACAATCTTAAGTTATCCTAGTTAGTTGGACTTACTTTCTTACTGTACCATTAGACCAAGTCAAAAACATTCTTCTATGTATTGTCTACACTGAATTTAGCAGTGACCCTAGTTTCAAACAAGCTACAAATGCTACATTTGAGCTCTTCCGCTTGCAAAACTTGAACCAAGTAACTGAAATTCTACTTGTTTCATGGTTTAATAGAATAAACCATGTTTCTCCACCTTGAAGATGAATGGACTTCAAGGAGCCTGGATAGCTCAACAGACTGAAAGTCTGTTATTAACATTCAGCTGTCTGCAATTAAAGTAAGATCGAATCTCCCCAGGCTCAAGGTTGACTCAGCCTTCCATCCTTTCTAAGGTAGGTAAATTGAGGACCCAGTTTGTGGGGGCAATAAGCTGACTTTGTATAAAATATACAAAAGTATGAAGGCTATTGCTTAACGCACTGTAAGCCGCCCTGAGTCTCCGGAGAAGGGCGGCATATAAATCTAATTTTAAAAAAAAACTCCCAGAATTCCTCACACTGGCTAAGGCATTTTGGGAATTAAAATCCACTCATCTCCAAGTAGCTTAAGCTGAGAAACATTAAGGGTATCAGAGCAAGATTAAAAAAAAAACTGTGAAAGGATAACAAATGACCATCTTATCTTCTGGACATTACTATTCTCAAAATAAAACTGTTCCCAGAGATTTTAACCAGGTCATAGCCATAATAACAGAATCCATAGATTATGTTTCCACGTGAATACACATCTGGAGTTGACCTCCTGTCTGAAACCTTTGGAAAAGCTTCTTCACATTTTTTTCCCAGGTATGGGGTTATTTTGAAACCAAAGAAGGAATAAAATATAAAGAGGGTCCACAAAAGAGGGGCGAGAATGATGTGGAAGATGGAAGCTAAAAGGACCACTGCATCTCAAATGAGCATAAGTGAAGAGTTGACTATTTGATAAAGGGGGCAGGATGGAATCAGGAACTGGCATCAGTAAATTCCAGTTCAACAGATTTATTGCTCATGTCTATACACACAAGAATCTGGTCAACTAATGGTCAGCACTAAACTGGTGCTAGATAAGAGTCAACAGAATTCAAGACAGGCTAAACTTGAAACATTTGTGGCCATGTAATGATTCTATGTTAAGTTCTCTCTTGACACCGCCTCCAGTCCAGTGGTGGGTTGCCTCCAGTTCGGACTGGTTCTATAGAACCAGTAGTAAAACTGGCTGGAGGCTCCGTCCACCGACCCCATCAGGAACATGACGTCACACGGCCCCGTTGCAAACCAGTAGTAAAGGGAAGTAGAACCCATCCCTGCCCCAGTCCCTGCCTTTTCTCCTCCTACAGGAAGCCGTCCAACTGTTAATCATGGATACGAGCCATTCTGATTGCCATCTTCTTGGCTTCATCCCCGCCGCTCCCTGTTTGAAATGTTCCTTTATTTTTAAATGGTGAATCATACCCGACACCCTTGTAAATCAACATCTGACAATTCAGTGGACTGTTAGTAAAAAAGGAGAGTGGGGGAGGGAAGGAACCCTCCGCATGAAAACTAGGCGCAAATCTTTAGGAAACTTGAAAAAGATGTGCTTGACTCTTAATTTAGTGAGTGGTTGGAATCTGGATGATTTTTCAATAGATAGGCAGGATATCTGGCTCTTTGCTATATGGAGGTTGGGAGTGGGAATCATGTCAAATCCCACACAGAGAGGCATGACATAATCTTAACAGCCAGATTTCTCTGCTTTCAGAGCTTAAGGGAAGGTTGTCTATTTATTCCATGCAGATAAGATTCTATATATATGTATATGAATATCTTATTATGGTTTTAATTGTTTTTATAATTGTTTGATAATTTAATAAATTTAATAAAGTTTGTTAAAAAAAAAAAGATTCTATATATTGCTTCCTACTGCCCCTGAGCATCAGATCCTGGATATTTTCATAAATCTAAAGTACATCTAAAGTACAAAGGTCCATGCGGTCAATTTTGAGTAGAGAATTTGCACTCTATAGACCAGCGTTTTTCAACCATGGCAATGTTAAACTGGGTGGACTTCAGCTCCAGCTCCAGCACAGGTACAGTATATGTGGTACCTCGCTCAATAGTAGTAACTGTGAGAGGGATCTTGGAGTCCTAGTGGACAGCCATTTAGATATGAGCCAGCCGTGTGCAGCAGCTGCCAAAAAAGCCAACACAGTTCTAGGCTGCATCAACAGAGGGATAGAATCAAGATCATGTGAAGTGTTAATACCACTTTACAATGCCTTGGTAAGGCCACACTTGGAATCCTGCATCCAGTTTTGGTCACCACAATGTTAAAAAGATGTGGAGACTCTAGAAAGAGTGCAGAGAAGAGCAACCTGGATGATTAGGGGACTGGAGGCTAAAACATATGAAGAACGGTTGCAGGAACTGGGTATGTCTAGTTTAATGAAAAGAAGGACTAGGGGAGACATGATAGCAGTGTTCCAGTATCTCAGGGGTTGCCACAAAGAAGAAGGAGTCAAGCTATTCTCCAAAGCCCCTGAGGGCAGGACAAGAAGCAATGGGTGGAAACTAATCAAGGAGAGAAGCAATTTAGGACTAAGGAGGAATTTCCTGACAGTCAGAACAATTAATAAGTGGAACAACTTGCCTGCAGAAGTTGTGAATGCTCCAACACTGGAAGTTTTTAAGAAGAGGTTGGATAAGCATTTGTCTGAAGTGGTGTAGGGTTTTCTGTCTAAGCAGGAGGTTGGACTAGAAGACCTCCAAGGTCCCTCCCAACTCTGTGATTCTATTTCTATTTCCTTGAGATATTTCTCAACCATGGCAACTGTAAGATTGGATGTACATCAACTCCTTATGATGTTTCTGAACCTTGGCAACTTTAAGATGGGTGGACTTCACTCCTAGAGATATTTCTCAACATTGACAACTGTACGATGGGTGGAAATCAGCTCCTTACAATATTTCTCAACCTTCACATCTTTAAGATGTGTAGACTTCACTCCTTGAGATGTTTCTCAATGTTGGCAACTTAAAGATGGGTGGACTTCAACTCCTTGAGATGTTTCTCAATCTTGGCGACTTTAAGACGAGTAGACTTTGATGCCAACTTGCAAAGCTTTTGTAAAGTTCACATTCGACTCCTAGGATTCTCCAATCAGCATTGCTGGGGAATTCTGAGAGTTGAAGTCCACAAATCTTAAAGTTGTCAAAGTTGAAAAACCATTGCCCTAAACTAACAAGTGGAACCCATCTCTATGGAATAAGATGAATCTGGTCATGTAGAATCTACATCCTAGTGATCGGTGTAATAATACCAGATAGGCTATACACGGGGTGAAAGTAGAATAATCTCACCTCCTTCCAGGTGGAAATCCTTGTTCCTACGTTTTTGATGCTAAGTCAGGAAAAAGACCTTAGAAAGCTTGGAAAATAGATCTTTTAGCAGAAAATTGGGGAGAAACTTGTCCCTGAATGGAACTTTGAATTTGACATATAATTTGAAAATGGTTGGGGTTTTTTTTTTTAATTTATTTTTATATGCCGCCCTTCTCCGGAGTCTCAGGGCGGCTTACAATGCGTTAAGCAATAGCCTTCATACTTTTGTATATTTATACAAAGTCAGTTTATTGCCCCCACAAACTTGGTCCTCATTTTACCCACCTTAGAAAGGATGGAAGGCTGAGTCGACCTTGAGCCTGGTGAGAATTGAACTCGCAGTAATTGCAAGCAGCTGGATGTTAAATGCTGCCTTAAGCAAGCCTCCTTCAGCTCTGCATAAGCACATCTGCCTAATAATAATATTAAACAGTTTTGGAAATGTTTGGATTGGCTCAGTATTTTCTACATTTCTTGCTTACCAAAAGTACTAACTTTAAAAAAAAAATTGTTAGGCAAG